CCTCGTCATTGAAGCTGATGCTCGTCTTGCGCTGCCGAAACCAGGCCAGGTAGTCATCGTCGCTGCCGCTTCCGCTGCTGCCTACGACAAGGGAGCCAACATGGCCGAAGTCGCCCTGCTGGTTGGAGGGGTAGGCGCCATGGGAGGAAGAGTTTGAGTCTTGAGCAGCCTCAAGCTCGGCAGTCAGCTGCGATGGGCCATGGCCTTGGTTGGGCGAGTCTTTCTGGGAGAGGGGCGCTCTAAGACCTCCTCTCCCTCCCAGCTATCCACGATGAGCCTTACGACACGTATTTCGAGGCGTATGAAATGTGTCAAGAGCGTTGCGCCCATCCACACGATGGGTTCGACGACCCGCTTGCCAATCCAGAGCCGTCTATCCGTAAGGGCACACAAGAAGATTCCGATGAAGAAGCGTTGAACGACGTGGACGCTGAATGGGGTGAACTCTCCCAGGAGCTCCCAAATCGCAACGGCGGTAATGTCGACTCATGGGATCTGCTTGGACGCCGCGCAGAGGATAACGTTGATTGTAGCGACCATGTGGGCAGCTACACCGACCTTCAGGCCGACTGGTGAAAGATACAAAAAGTGGATTATCAGTAGGTACGCGCAACATTGGGTCTGTTACTTCGTACAAGCAGGTCGAGATCAAGCAAAGGTTGCTTTGGGACACCTTTGTCGACCACTTCAAGGGTGTATCCGACAACGAGCCTCTACGGAGGCAGTTGCTCCTCCACGTTGACGACAAAGCAGATACCACTGTCATCATGTCCATGTGTGCCAAAGTTGAGCGCATTGCTAGCGACCTTGGCATAGCCTCCGTTGTCATTCGGGCAGCTCCTACAGGGGTTGCTGCTTGCAATTTTGGTGGTAGCACTTTACATTCGCTTCTTCGACTGCTAGTAAAGGAAAAGGTACACCAAGCACTGTCGCCCGGTAACCTTCGTACACTGCAAGAAATGTTTCGTTCTCTCCAATATTCCATCATCGACGAAAAGTCCATGGGGCCGTTGCGCAAGTCGACGTGGATTTGAAAACACCTGGGTGAATTCTTTCCCGAGAATAGAGACGAGCACTTTGGTGGAAATTATCCACACTTGAATAACGCACTGTTCTTACACATTAAGCAGTTGTACAAACAAAAGCGAAAAACGTTTCACGACAGTACAACGTCAGTTCCGGTGTTCATGCCGTGGACAAAGTCCTTTAAGGCGACCTTCGTCATGTATCTTGCGACAAACGACAACACGGTAAGGCTGTTATCTGCTGAGCTCGCATACCGTTGTAGTACTAATCGGTTTACCAATAATCAACATTCGCCAAGCCGCGCGGCTCTACTTACGAGAACAGCATGCCCTACGATGCGCTAGAGAAACCACCTCAGGACTAGCCCGACGAAGTCGCGTACGGGGAAGACTAAGAGCAGTATCACTAAGAAACGCAATTAACGCATCCGTAAGATCCACACATTGCTGA